GACAAACCAAGCAAGGCCCAAGTATTTCCTCAATCTCCTAAAGTGAGAGTTGAATGTTCGAAAATTATTATAGACAAAAAATCTGGATCCCCTCCAATGGAGGGGATGATGTGCCTTGGTCCTATGCACCATGATTCAGATTGAAGGTTCTATACATTGATTGATTCTAGAATTTTTTCTTCTATTTTATTATAAATCCAAGATTAAATCTATCTAGCAAAAATCATAGTTGAGGAGAAGGTGCAGTTTTATCTACAAAAATGTTCAGTGAATGTAATAAGTAAGAGTGGGTTGTTGGAAGGTCCAAACACTTTGGTAGGGCAGTCCTTACAAAGATCTATTACTACCTTGTAGGTTGCAGTATTGGGGACTATGACACAAATTGAGACTATAGAAATATGAGAAATTCTCATTACTGACCAACACGGGATTGCCTTCCAGTGGAACTAGGTCCCTTAAGGTCATACCAAACATGTATAAACATTTCATGAGTTTCTAGACCCTATAGAAATTGTTTTCCATAAATACTCTATCTCGGTTTAAATAATTTTTCGACACTATCTCACTAAAATTTAAATATCTCATAGTAGGATAGGAATCTGAAAATGGAATTCCTACAATTGGAAAGCTAACGAAAAATTCTTAAATTTAAGCTCAAGAATGACCCAATTTGGATTTAAAATGACTGAGTTATGACCGTTTTAGTTTCATGTCACAAAACAGGAAAAATAATAAGCTGAGCTCAAAATATAGATGGACTAACCGTACATCAAAATGAACCAAAACATACTTCTATATCAATGCACATCTTTTTACTTTTTATTCTTTTTTTTAATCTTCGGGAAACATAGAGAATTATGGAGTCTTGGAGCTAAGGACTTTGCATCACATCCTCAGAGCATGAGTGGTGTTAAGTTTTAAAGTCTTCCATGATTGTATACAGAATTATGGAGTCTTGGAGCTAGTGATGGATAATTCTATTACAGTAAAGGGTTGGTAGGAATTTGTAGATTAGAGAACATGGCAGAATAGTAGAGAGTTCTGTAGGTATTGTAAATATTTATATAGTTAGATGAAAAATTATAGAGAATATTTTAGCCATCGATGGTAATGCATTTCAATATATAAAGAGTATAGGTCTTACCTGTAAATAACAAGTTGTAATTAAGGGTGAGAGTTAGAAATTAAATAAGTAGGTGGATGAAGTCACCAGGAGTGTAATTGTGAAATAAGTGTTTTATTTTCCTTTTGTAAGAGTGTATCATTCAAATAATGTCATCGGACTTAAAAATCCTCTTTATTTTATTTTTGTTATGGATGTGGGATCTACAATCGGTTGCAAATATTAACGATCGATCACAAACATTTATGATCGGTCGTTAGAATGCCCATTTTTCACCCACTGAATGACCAAACTTTGATTAAACTTATCTTATTCGTTTCTGACCTGAATTAGGCAATTCTTGACTCCAAATTAGAGGACTTTGAACCTTCTTTCCATTGGTACCAGTCCCTTTTTATAATTATGACTCAAAATGACATTTTTACCTTTGTAAACCCTAGGGGCCCGGTGTGAACTCGAAGTTAGAAATTTTAACATTTTCATGGACCTAAATGGCTGGAAACAACTACTATGATTTCATTATGACTCCTAGAACTTAGCAAGGTGTATAATGACAATAGAACCCTTAGATGTACTCGAATTCGAGTTAGGACCTGGATAGCGATTCGGACCCTCGGGTTCGGGTTTTTTTTTACAGTTATACAAACACCTATTCTCTAGCTCATCCATTTTTTATTGACTGTGTAGAGCATGAGTAGTGTTAAGTTTTAAAGTCTTCCATGATTGTATACAGAATTATGGAGTCTTGGAGCTAGTGATGGATAATTCTATTACATTAGAAAGTTGGTAGGAATTTGTAGATTAGAGAACATGGCATAATAGTAGAGAGTTCTGTAGATATTGTAAATATTTATATAGTTAGATGAAAAATTGTAGAGAACATTTTAGCCATCGATGGTAATGCATTTCTATATATAAAGAGTATAGGTCTAACCTATAAATAACATGTTGTATGGGTAAGAGTTAGAAATTACATAAGTAGGTGGATGAAGTCACTAAGAGTGTAATTATGGAATAAGAGTGCTATTTTCCTTTTGTAAGAGTGTATCATTCAAATGATGTCGTCAAACTTAAAAATCCTCTTTCATTTTATTTTTGTTATGAATGTGGGATCCACATGATACATTTGTTTATGCAATCTTTGAACCTTGCATCATTGCTTACATCATCAATGACAATCCCTTGGAGTGGTGAGCAAGTTTGTTGGCTTACACAGGAAGCTCATCGTTGGGCCTATATATATACTCATCAATTGTACTCTGAAGGTGATTTAGAAAAGGAAAAAGAAAATCAATAAGATTATATTACTTTCATTTATCTCTTTTTGTCGTTCTCTTTATATATGCTATTATACTGTCTATAACATATAAAATTATAATATGTTATCAGCATGGTGGTCGATAAATGTTTACCAATAATAATCAATACTTGTAATAGCACAAATCATTGTAAAATAGGGCTATCATAAGAGTAAGTCGAACCACATGGATTGCTAGTTTATGGCAACCAAGGTTGTCAAATCACTTTGTTTGATGAAAGAGGTGTAAGAGGTTTGTTTTGTTTGTCACTTAGAATTTAAGATGAATTAAACTTATGTAGAAAGAGTTAAGGAAGTGAATCCACCACCAACCATATAAACATGCTTGTTTGTAATTAACTTGGGGAACAACCTATATATGTGACCATGATATGTTGAAATACATGATTACTACATTACCTTCAAAAAATTCATAAAATCAACAATTAAGTATAATCCATCAAAGTTTTACATGATTTCACTACCTAGACTAGGGTGTAGCTTAAGGCATGCTCACTAAGCTATGGACTATCAACTTCCTCAATAAGTATGATGAGAGCACATGAAGTAAAAAACTAAGCATAATCCATCAAAGGTGTTCCTAAGCTATGGACTTTCAAAACTTCCATACAACATGTCATTAAAAACCATTTCATAATCTCATCTCCATTCTCACCATGAAGATGTAAGCAGCATAATTATAAGAAAATACAATCTAAGACAAGATAATAAGTTCAACACAATCCTTTATTGAAATGAAGAGCCATTACAACTTGTGTAAATCTCTAGACTAAGAAACTATTATATACATATTTCATTCTCCAAATTGAAATACAACTAGAGCATGATTACAAGGAAAGGCTTCATCACCTCCCTAGGAAGGGAGTTAGTTACCCATAGCAGCAAGGAAGGAAGAGGGTGAAGAACTCAACCCTTCCATTCTCGCAACTTTCAGAAATATACAACCCAAAACTCAATAATTCTCTTTAGAATTATTCTCAAACAACTCCTTATTCCCAGCTCCTTTTTTACAATGATCACCCTTTCTTTAAGTAGACAAAATGTCTACCAAACCTCCTCAATTTCGAGGTCATTGTCCCCTAAAAGCACTTTACCAACACCCTCAATTAAGGAGGGAATCAAATTGAAAGGATCAAAATGCTAGCTGGATTTGTATTGTCTGGACGAGCGCTCGTCCAATGAAGGGACGAGTGCTTGTAATTAGCCTTCTATTCACTCGTCCAATGAAGGGACGAGTGCTCGTAATTAGCCTTCTACTCACTGGCCTTTGGAAGAGCGCTTGGTTTGCCTTGGAAGAGCGCTCGGTTGGCCTTTGGAAGAGTGCTCGGTTTGCCTTTGGAAGAGCGATTGGTTGGCCTTTGGAAGAGCTCCTGGTTTGCCTTGCGCCTTTGGCCAATGATTTGTGTGAGTTGTGGGCTATTGGTCTTCCACAATCTCTCACTCTTCTCCCATGATGAAGAAACCCCAAATCAGTTTTCACGGTTCTCTTCAGTCCCATTACCAAAATTAATAGTTTTAAACTAAAAGCACAGTGCAGAGTAGTACAGGACATGGCTGCAGAAACAATTGAAAGCCACCATATCTGATCAAAATCTGGAATTTGAGAGAAAAAAATGTCATATATGGATTATTGCTCCACGTTTTGCAAGGATCTTTCCCACTGGAAGCAGTTGAACCGTTTAATTGCCCTGTTTGATTATAACCCAATAAACCCATTAGACCAAAGAACTCTAAACACCAATTCAAAAATAAAATAAATATCATTAAACCTTTGTTTCAATTCAAAATTCATACTCACGCCATGCTTATAGAAGCTGCAATGGTGTGTTGCATCTTATTCGAGTGCATTTATTTCCAAAAAATACGTCTACTTATGAAGTCTTAAATAAATAAAGAGTAATGATAGGGAAACCGAAAAGGAATCCCCGAATTAACACCAAATCTGACATGATTGGCTACACTTGTCATTTGTTATTATTTTTTGAAAACGGTTTAAGTATAAGAGGTGGGCAAAAACAAGTTAGATTTAGTGCTTATTTAGAATTTATTTTTCGGTCTCTCTATCATTATTCTTAAATAAAATTAAGTTTATTACTAGTTTATTCTTTTATTGTCTTCAAAGTACCATAAAAATAATAATAACAAAATCTGTAAATAAGAAATCAAATCAAAATCTGAAATCAAATTTTCTGTACTATTTTGGTAGGACTTTTATTTCGGCTTATTAATTTTTAAAGAACCTAAAATCAGAATACTTTACACAAACTTATCTGGTTTTCAGTTTTTTAAAAACTTAGTTAAAATAAATAAATAAAGCGGTCAACTACTATACTTTTAATGAATAATTTAGAAGGAAAACAGTACATAAATATCAGTCACTCATATAGGGAAAGAAAAATTAGATTCAAGTACGTAAATATAACATAAAGCTTGTTGAAATGAAAAGAGTTTTCCAGTATCAAGACATTAGAGCTTGGAGAACAGTATATTACAGTAACAAGGTAACTGAATTTTCTAGCAATAGAGAACACCTTCATTATTCACCTACAGAGCATCATATTAATAACCCAGGTGACCGTGACGACAAACAGCATGTAACCTCTCCAAGGTTTGAACAACTTCCTTCATAAATGGACGTACGCCCTTGTCTGACACACTGCGCATTGCCAGATCAGTAATTTTATATCCATCGTGTTGACTGAACCCCAAATCTTCTTCAAAGCTTTTGTGCACGAGAGAGAATTTCTTTGAGAGGGCAAAACAGCCAAATAATGATTTCTTCTGCTTGTTCAAATAGTATTGGGCTTCAGCCCAACAGTGTACAGGTTTCTTGATCTCATAGGGTCTTTTGGATATGAGCTCCAAAAGCACAGTGCCAAACGAGAAGACGTCCTGTATCATCCACCATTTACCTGTTGAAGGGTTTTTTTATTAACAAAAAAAATATATATATCACACAACTGAAAAGATGCCAAAACACAAAAAGCTAGTAGAAGCTAAAAAACAAAGCAACTACAACATTCCATCTACCAAATTCTTTTTATATTTCTGTTTCTCTTTTTCTTTATCCTTTTTTCCTTTTGGTGAGCCCATCTTACTAATTCCATTAAACAGAATTTGCAAAATTTCAACACGAATATATGCGCTAAAAACCATTTGAGATACTTCTTGTTGAAGACAGTCTCAAGGGTGGCTTTGCTCCACATAAATTATAATAAATAAATAAATGAATGGCTACAATCACCCAAACAAGGTAGTTTTTCATGCAAAAGATACAATCATACAGTAAGAGTAGTACCAATTGAAGGTTCTCATCTTGCTAGAAACTAAAATCAATTCATTCAAAATATGTAACATCTAGCAAGAATGGAATTGACACTGACAATAACAATAAAAATAATAACAACGATATCAATAACAACAGTAAACATATAAATCATATACAATCGGAGGAATGATCACTTTATACATTCCTTATTCTCTACTGAAAAAATAATTGCCAATTCTCTTGTTCATACCAAATAGCAAGTGTTCTTAGTTACTTTAGCTGCTGTTTGATAAGTAACAAAAACTTCAGGGCTAAGTTATACTAGGAATCTAGGATGAAATTTTTTAATTTGATGAAATCAAAGTTAAGGATCAACATGCAAATCCAAATTCACATAAAAAATACCTATCAAAAAACTTGTTAAGTGTGGATTATGACCTTGAAAATTTATCTCACTTTCTAAATAGAAAACATTTTTCTTAAAGACAACTCACAGTCCATTATCAAAACACTAGATAGATAACCACTAAAGTTTCCAGTTTTAAGCACTTGGTACTTTGGTAGGGGTGTTACCAAAAAGCCCTTTAGGTTGACAAAAATAATGAGTAAGAGAGTTTACAAGAAAAAGCCCAAGAGAAAGGAGGGAGTGCACCTCAAAATCAGATAAAGAGATCAAAAGATTAGAAACTATTATATTACGAAACAAGAAAGTAAAAAATCAGCTTGAAGAAAATTAATTACATATATATTTTTCATTAATAAATTAATTACTGCAAATATTCCTCAAAATAGTTAAAATCTCATAAAAAGACCAAATTAGAGTCAAGTAAACAATCATGTGATGTTGTACTCTAGATTGGAATAAAATGAATTAGCTAGACAAACAAAACATGAAGCGCAAACAACCAAAAACAATATGGGATGACACAATGTCTAAGGTAGGTATACAAGTTTTGGAAGTCCAATGAAAGGGCTACAAACCTCATTCAATTAAGAAAGTTTATGATAAAAACGAACGTGTTTGCTGTAGTTTTTTGTTCTTTAATTTCTCTGCTCTAAGTCCCAATGTTCAGTAGGACTTCAAATTTTCAAACAAAATTGCATACAGTTCAATTATTTAGAACTTCTCACATCAGGAGAAGTTCGAATCATTGTAGTACTTCCAATTGAAGCATCTGACTGTAGAGGGTTCAATTTATCTCTAATAGTGAATTAGTTAGGTTATATTGGTTATCTTAGTTTCTTTTACTTGATCTTTAAAGGGATTTTAAACTTGGGTAGACCACCCCCAAATCCCAGACACAGAATAGTCAGATATCCAAACCAAATTATACAAATCAATTCAGCCTATGTTCATCTTTGGCCTGGATAAAACATTGGGGGCCCACCGCGCACCAAATATTTTATTTCGACTTCTACAAGATATATTTATATATGCACATGAATTTAATTATACTAATATGGACCTCCATAAAATAATGTTGAGTTATATGGAAATTAAAATTTTATTCAAGTATTTTTCAAAAGGGACCGTTCTAGCTCTGTTAGATTTGAAGATCCTTTCATCTGTAAGTTATATAGCGTAAGTGGTCCTATGAACTATATGACACTCCATTAGAGGTAAAATAATCTTTACATATTTATTGTATATGATCTCCAATATGTGGATTTGCTTTCGATACGTTCATTGGATAGGCTCTAGAACTTTATGGAAGTATTACATTGAGATGAAAATGACAAGGTCAAAGAATATTCTTGTATGCAATAAGTAAGTTGCACCCAGAATGAAGAAGACCGTCTTTTATTAGAGCAAAAATACAACCACCATCTCTCTCTCAACCAAGGGGCACTCTCTCTTTCTCTTGCTTAACATCATCAATAATTTTTCCTTTTTTTCCACCTCTCTTCCACAATCAATAGCAAATGACCTTTCATAGCCAAATGAATTGAAATTGATTACTTATTTTGGGATTTTACAATTCCTTTGCACCATCAAGTCACTTCGATCTTCACCATTATGATTCATACATGTATGCAACAAGAGAAATTTTGATACTATGTCATATTCATAAAGCGAACCACATAACAATATTATGATATTAGGATTAGAGTTTTTTGCGCACAAGTTTCCTCCCCAAAAAAGCACCATGGATTCCGAAAAAGAGAGAGGTCAAAGACGCTTTTATGAGTAATCATAATGATTTACTCATCTGTTTGGGTTGATATTTTCACTTGACATTCCTCGTTTGCCCACAATTTATATAGCATTATATACTAGTTGAAAAAATAAATAAAAAAATACACTCGCAATTAAGAAGTGCACTGGTGATATAGGCAATGAACTCTAGGCATGGAATAGATTATAAATACAACATTAAGTTGACATACCGAAATTCCTAATGCTGGGATCACCATAGCCTGGCGCTCCAAGCACAAACATATTTGCTATTGGTTGCTCGTCACCAAAAACCCTACCAACTAGCATTCCAAAGTCGAATAGTACTGGATCGTAATCCTTAGTTTCAGCATAACATAATATCATGTTTAATTCTTATTAAAAATTTCTTCAGAATGAAATTACCGAAAAGTTGAGTGCACTAAGTACATGGACACCAGATCTGACCTGATCAAGCATTATATGTGCAGGACTAAAATTGCGAACCAGGTAGTGCGGTTTATGATGATAATGCAAAAACTCGAGCAGACGTGCAATAGCAATTGCTACCTTGATTCTGTGGAGCCAGGAAAAGCCATCTACGTTCACCCAAAAAAACAAAACTCTTTTAGTAAATAGCGTACTAATCTATTTTAAAGAAGTTTATCTTTAGTACCAACCATATCCCTGCATGTGATGGCAGCTACACTCTACTAAATGCGGTACATCCAAACAAGACAAAATTTTATTACTCAAAGAAATATATTTTCTTAGTCAAAGAAGAAAAGAAAGTGCACACACAGAGAGAGATAGAAATAGAGGGAGAGAGAGATTATCCAACAAACTAAACAATGATTAACTAAAATAATCAGTTTAGGAGCAGATTTAAGATTCAGTATAGCAAGCCAAAGTAGTAAATGTTATCACCGAACACTAATATGGAGAATCAGTTGGTCTTGCAATTATAGTTGTCACTTTGTAAGATTCATTTTCCCTCTCTCCCAACATATATTGAAAACATGACGCGCATGCTCAACAGATTAACGTATGATTAGAAAAGTCAAGTTGTAACAGATTAATGAAAGAAAGAAAATATGTACTACCTTTATCAATGAGGTTGTGCACTGTATCCACTGGTTTAAGGTCATAAACAACCCCCAACAGACTATCTTCGCAGCAATATCGCAAAAGTTTGACCAGACTCGGATGATGATTTACACTCGACTCCATTAGAAAAATGCATTCTTTCTGGGAAAATTGAAACACAACATTTAACAATGACAGGAACAACATCTATAACCATCAAATTTCAAAATTGAAATTTCAGACACTAAACTAATGAAATACTGTTACTACCGCCAATTGGGAACGGTGTTCATTCCGGCCTACAGGAAAGTATCCTAAATCTTCCCAAATCTTCACAGTCACATCCTGACCTTGCTGAGTCTTTCCTCGATCACTTTGCCGAATTGGGCTTCTCCAATCAGATTTACGTGGCTAAAATTACCGGTTAAATCTTCTAATTCCCCGGGGGAGTATTTTCTGAGATTATACTCTCTGAGCATTTCCATAGTTGGACCTATTTCATCTAAGTACGGTGGCACACATGGTCAGTACCATTATATACAGTTAAATTTTCATATGAAACCATGAAAAAAGACAAATATGTCCTACATTGAAACTACATGAAACAATTTTTTTTTTCTTTAGCTTTCTTTTCCCAACATAGGTTGTTGGAAGCGAGTGATAACACCGATAGAGGACTTGAGAGAAATAGACGTCAACAACGTTCATGCAAATCAACTTAAAAGCATTAAACTACTTTTCCTAAAATTCCAAGATTTGAGGCATAGATTCCATGCTGAGAAACATTTAAAAACATGATTCAAATTGAAGACTCCGTAAGCTCAAAGGAATAGAAAAAATACCATATTCATGCCTTATTATAATTGAATTTTAAATAAAAAAAAACATAAAACTCTAAAATGGAAAATTCGAAGTTATCAAAGGCTTGCCTGATTTGACACTTATAAAACAATTCTCAATAACTCAAAAAATATAGAAAACTACTATAAAAGACCGTTATCTGAACACATGCCTTATTATAATTGAATTTTCAAAAAATAGTTTTCAAAAAACTAAATGAAGCAGGGTTTTTGTACCATTAACTCAAAATAGAAAACTATTTTTCGAGTGACAAACCAAGCAAGGCCCAAGTATTTCCTCAATCTCCTAGAGTGAGAGTTGAAGGTTCGAAAATTAATATAGACAAAAAATCTGGATCCCCTCCAGTGGAGGTGATGATGTGTCTTGGTCATGTGCACCATGATTCAGATTGAAGACTGTTAAGCTCGAAGGAATATAAAAAATATGAAATAAACAACACAGTTCATAAACAAGGCATAAGAAAGACAATTCAGAAGCATAAATGATCAATGAAGTAAAGATTGTATATACCTGTATTGTCTTTCAAGCAGGTGATGGCACTGGCCGTATTCATGATCCTGATAAAGTAATGGAGGGTAAATACCGGTATTGAATTAGTAAGTGATCACAACAAAATTCAAATTAAAAACAAAATAAAAACAAAAAACCCTAAAAATGAAAATTCGAAGTTGTCTGAGGGATGCTTGATTTGTTGGACAAAAGTTCTCAGTAACTAAAAACTACCTTTATATAAAAACAAGTATTTTTATAACTGAATTTTCAGAAAGCAATTTTCAAAAAACTAACTGTTTTCTAAGTGACAAATCAAGCATGCCCCAAATTTCTCCTCAAATCTCAATCTACTAGAGTGAGAGTTGAAGGTTCAAAAATCAATATGGACAACCCTCCTGGGGAGAGGATCACGTGCCTTGGTCCTGTGCCAGGCTACTGCAACAAATATATGAAAAAATTGTCCCGTGGGTGAAGTTATTGCATAAACCATTCAATGGCACAGATGGCAAAACTGAGATAAAATGACACAGATCCAATTTATTATGGACGAATGGGTGTGTGCATTTGAGTTACTTGAAAAGAAGAAAGAAGAACTAACGCAAATCTTGCTGAAGTCCCCCTTTTGTTGTAATATTCCTGTTCTGCCCGCCCAACTTACAGGGACCTGGTTTCAGTTCGACTAAATGGAGTAGTGGATTATTGTTATACAAGGAGATCTTGGAGATTAGTGTTTGGTATCATGGGATGTATGGGTTGGATGTTAGGTTTTAGTCGGTTGGTTGGTTTCAGATTTGAGAATCAATGTTTTGTGTTGGGAGATGAGAAAAATTATTAGATGGTCTTGTACCATTAAGATAAATTTAATTTAGACTCTCTAATTAGAGAGAGAGAGAAAAAAAAAAAAAAAAAAAAAACGATTAGGATTGAACTGATCCACCTTGTGTTAAATGTACCAAAATTCAGAATAATTTTTCTAATATGGTACAATATCTCACATGATTTCTTTCTGTCTTATATTCACCTAACAATTATTGAAAGATTTTGTCATTTTAGTTTTTTATTCTTAAAATAGTGATACTTGCACTAATTCATTATATTGAATTACCTAATTGAAAGTTTTTATGCAAAATATAAATAAGTGGAGGATCCACTTTCTTACTTGTCGCATAGATGGACTAATTAAAATGGGTTGATACTTGAATCGGACACCTTTCATAATCTGATATAACATTAAAAAATAAGCAATTTGGAACAACCCGGATACCCGGATGAATCCAATTAGAAACCCATTTTTTCTCTTTCGTTCTCTCTTCTTGGCTTCCTGGTCCTCTTCTTCCTTTCTTTTTCTCAGCAATCCCTTGAGAGTTCTATAAAACTATAAAAATAACTAAAACAAGTTACAATTTTTCAAATCATTTATAGATAAAATAATAATATAATTTACCAAATAATAAAATAAGTTACCAATTAAAATAAATCCGATAAGTTATCAATTAAAATAAATCCTATTATACTTAGAATTCTTCGGTATTTATTTATTAATATAAAAAATATTTATTAATTGATATAAAATGAATGAAATATGTAATTATTTAATAAAGTAATTTACCAAATAATAAAACAAATTACCAATTAAAATTAAATAGTAACTGTTTAATTGAAATTCAATCAATATGTTTCAAATCATTTATAGATAAAAAGAATAAAATAATTTACCAAATAATAAAATAAGTTACCAATTAAAATAAATCCTATAAGTTATCAATTAAAATAAATCATATTATGCTTAGAATTCTTTAGTATTTATTTATTATTCTAAAAAAATATTTATTAATCAATATAAAATGAATAAAAATAAAAGAGTTTCAATAAATAAAATGAATTAAAATGAAAGAGATTCTATAAATAAAATGAATTAAAATAAAAGAGTTTCTATAAACTATTAAAACAACCAAAACAAGTTACGATGTTTCAAATAATTTATAGATAAAATAATAGAATAAGTTACCAATTAAAATAAATCATATAAGTTACAGATTAAAACAAATCATATTATGCTTGGAATTCTTCACTATTAATTTATTAATATAAAAAAACATGTACTAATTGATATAAAATGAATTAAAATATATAAGTAAAATGAATTAAAATAAAAAGAGTTTCTATAAAATTATTAAAATAACTAAAACAAGTTACGTTTTAAATTTGTAGCGTGAACCAAAACGTAGCATGGGCCCAAGCTATTTGTGTGTGAAGTGTGCCGGTTATTTTAGATATTGGGCCAAGATTGTTGTTTGTTCAATCCCTATATATACAACACCCTAGTACAGACGGCTGCTAAAGCTACAAATTAATTGAAGCTGGTTTAGAGAGAAGGTGCAGAAGAAAACCTAACCCTAATCGAAGAACCCTCGCGTTGTTGTTTGTTCACCTCAATATATACACACTGGTCAGAAACGTTTGATATCCGTTCAATATGTTGAATTTGTATATTGCCTTGTGTTACTGGACTTTTATTATTTTCTGAATCTTGATTTGATTGATCATCTAAGCTTCTCGATTGTCTTTTTTCTTGTTTCATTCTTTTCGTTCTGTTATAGTAGTTGACGTACTGATTTGGGAAAAAAAGAGAGGGTATAATTTGGTTTTTATTTTTTCCTTTGAGCTTTTAGTCTCTTCAATCTGAATCATGTCTCTAAAATGTTTCACAGGATTAGACGCCCATTCTTTCAAGTTCTCTATTGGTGTCACCACAAACTGAGAAAAGAAAGAAAAAGAAAAAGAAAAAGAAAAATTAAATTGTTTCTTGTAGTCACTTAAAAATGATCCAATGTATAAACAAATGTTTATGACCTTAAACCTGTGGATTATTTAAGTAGAAAATATGTAAAATTGTTTCATGTAGGCTCTGTTTGTTTTGACGTAAAATATTCATTTTGGAAAATATTCAGGTAAATATTTTGCTGACAACCAAACACACACACAAAAATATTTTCTGAACTTTAAAATGATTTAATTTACAAATGTATTCTCATGGTTTCATATGAAAATTTAACTGTATGTGACAATACTGACAATACTGACGGTGTGTACTGCGGTACTTTATATGAGATAGGTCCAACTATGGAAATGTTCAGAGAGTATGATATCATCAAGTTCTCCCCTGCGGAGTTAAATGATTTGACCAGTAATTTTAGCCAAGCAAATCTGATTGGAGAAGCCCAATTCGGCAAAGTGTATCGAGGAAAAACTAAGCAAGGTCAGGATGTGACTGTGAAGATTTGGGAAGATTTAGGATACTTTCCTGTAGGCCGAAATGAACACCGTTCCCAATTGGCGGTAGTAACACTACTTCATTATCTTAGTGATTGGCGGTAGTAACACTACTTCATCATCTTAGTGTCTGAAATTTTAATTTTGGAATTTGATTTTTATAGATGTTGTTCCCATCATTGTTGAATGTTATGTTTCAATTTTCCCAGAAAGAATGCATTTTTCTAATGGAGTCGAGGGTAAATCATCATCCGAGTCTGGTCAAACTTTTGGGATATTGCTGCGAAGATAGTCTGTTGGGTGTTGTTTATGACCTTAAACCAGTGGATACAGTGCACAACCTCATTGATAAAGGTATTACATATTTTATTTCTTCAATTAATCTGTTACAACTTGACTTTTCTAATCATACGTCAATCTGTTGATCATGCACATCATCTTTTCAGTATATGTTGGGAGAGAGGGAAAATGAATCATACAAAGTGACAACTATAATTACAAGACCAACTGATTTTCCATATTAGTGTTCGGTGATAACATTAACTACTTTGGCTTGCTATACTGAATCTTAAATCTGCTCCCAAACTGATTATTTTAGTAAATCATTGTTTAGTTTTCCCCTTGTTGGATACTCTCTCTCTCTAAATTATTTTCTTCTTTGACTAAGAAAATATTTTTCTTTGAGTAACTACAATTCTGTCTTGTTTTGGACGTACCGCATTTAGTATCGAGTGTAGCTGCCATCACATGCAGGGATATGGTTGGTAATTAAGATGCACATCTTTAATTTAGATTAGTATGCTATTTACTAAAAGAGTCTCATTTTCTCGGGTAAACGTAGCTGGATTTTCCTGGCTCC